CATAAAGCAAAGTTACATATAGATCAGTTGACAAAAATGCTGTGACCGGAGGCCCTGGATGTCCCCTAGCAGCGACGGTTCTGTATTTGCAAATTCGGTATTTGTGGTGATGTCACAAAACATCACTACCGTGCATAACGAGAACTGGCTGTATTATTCAAATTCGAATAGGAATTTTTGAAGTAAATTGCATTTATAATTTGGGGAAAACAGGTTTGTGGCAAAAAATAAGCTTGGCAGGGCAAAAGGGCTGTAGGAAAACAGGCAGCTTGCCAGCGTTCTCAGGCGTCTCCAGGCGTGGCAGGAAGCAGGACAAATATCAGGACCCAGGTATGGTCACCCCCCCAGGGCAGGACAGCAGAGCACGAGTTTTCTTAGGACACCCAGCCATGCCCTACGTAAGAATGACACGGTGGGAGAAGCCAGAAGCAAGGGCCTCCCTCCTATGGTACCCAGGAGTGCACACCGTGAGATGTCCTGGGGAGAGTTGCCGGGTGGGGTGTGGGGGCAAACTGTACAGTGCAGACCGAGCCCAAAGGTAAGAGGGGGTTTTAGGCTTTAAAAAGATGCTAAACCAGGCTGTGTGAAGTTGGGCCCTTATGGGTCCCAGCCACACAGGTATTCCCTATCGGGACACAGGAGCCATGTGGCCTTGCCCGCTTGCCTAGCTAAGCTGCTGCAGACAAGACACCTGGGCCTGGCCTCTGGGGTGCTGGCAGCTGGTCAGGGCTGGAGGAACCTCCAAGGAGCCAGAGTCAAGGTGATTTCCTGTCCTCGGGGCCAGTGTGCCCAGCCGGCTGGGGATGCAGAGGGAAGACAGGGGAAGTGTCCCCTGGAGAATGTGCAGGTCACACTCCACTTGGTTGGGTCCTGCCTGAGTTCCCGTGATGTGTCCCTTCCCAGGGGAGGCAAGGTGGGCTCTGGAGAAAGATAGCCTGGGGTTGCAGCTCAGCCCTGCCGCAGCTCAGCCCCAGGCTACTCCTCGACTCTTCGGTTTCTTCAATATATAAATGGGGGGGTGGAAATCGTTCCCAAACTTCACACCCTTGGTGGGTGTTTTGAATGTATGAGTACACAGAAAGTGCTGAGAACAATGTCTGGCCCATAGTAAGTATCTGATAGTCATTATCCATTATGCTTACCTATGTATTTATAAGTAGAGTTGTTATAAAGTGACCACCGCATGTGGTCTGGTTTAACGAAATTAATGTGGTTAATCCATAATTAATTCTTGAACATCTACAAATATACGGCCTGGCCTACAGATGATTCTTAACATTCAAAGCCTTCAGGACCGAAGTATATTTTGGGGTTGTGTGAGTTCTTTAAATGAAAGACCAACCACACTAAACTGTAAACTCTGTCTGGACGGTAACCTTCCAAAACCTATGAAAACTGAAGAGAACTAGATAAGGTCTTACTGCTTGAAGAGACTCTGCTGTTGTTGCTGTCTTTGCAGCAGGGAGTAGAGAGTCAGGGATGTCAGAAAATGATTCATGGGAGGGGCACCTGGGTGGCTCAGTTGGTTAAGCGACTGCCTTCGGTCAGGTCATGATCCTGGAGTCCCGAGATCGAGTCCCGCATCGGGCTCCCTGCTCAGCAGGGAGCCTGCTTCTCCCTCTGACCCTACCCCCTCTCATGCTCTCTCTCTTTCTCAAATAAATAAATAAAATTTAAAAAAAAGAAAAAGAAAAAAGAAAATCTTTCCTGGGAGCCTGGATTTTTAAAGACACAAGGGAAGTGCCGGCTAGAAACATCCTAAGGGTCAACGAAGATATTTAATAACTGGGCCTTCTTTTTTTTTCTTTTTCATTCATAGGAATGATACTGATGTTGATTTTCTTTCTCACTTTTAGAAAGGTTCTAAAAGTATCAATTTTATCCTACTCTGACACACAGACGTAAATAATTTGGCACAGGCAATAGAAAAGTTCTAAGTAGACTGAAATCCGTTTCTGCCCAAGACTAGGCAAGGATCTCTCCTACACGTCTTGGAATGTTACAAGGCATTCTCTTTTGCAAGAGTTACCTGCCAAGTTGCAGTGATCTCCCCCTTGCTGTTGCATTAAGATTTAGCATTCATGGACAGTGCCTGTGATGCAAGGTAGGTGCCGGAGAGCTGGGCCAGACTCCATGGCCTCTGTTTTGGGGTCAGGGGGTGACAGGCCGTGAAGAGATGGCTCAACGAGATCTGGCTGCACCTTGGAGCAGGGGGCCTGGCCCCTCTCGTTCCTCACCACCCCCACCCCTGTGGTCCCCTCTCTCCCTGCTTCTCCAGGCAGGCTCCCTAACCTTCTCCAGGCTCCAAGGGACTTCTAATTCTCTCAGGAGGAGGATCTAGACAGAAACAGGCTAAACTGCAAACCCCACAGTCCTTAGATGTACAGTGTCTGGACTAGAAATGCTGACCTATTGCTCGGGGTCCGTATACGGCTTTTCTTTAAATTAAAGAGAATCAGTCGTACTTGTTTCCTGATGGGGCTCTTCTTGTCTGTCTGCAGGGGCAGCCCAACTTCCCTCCACTGTGGTCTTTCCTGTGCTGTTGGCTTTTTTGCCCCCTTTTAGACTGAGTGTGACTCGGGTGGGGGTGGCATCGGACAGGACGGTCCAACAGAGGAACACCAACGGGGCCTGGGTGGTCATTTGGGGCCCAGTGGCTGCCACTGGGCAGCAGGGGGGGCTCTGCAGAGAGGGTGGCCCACGGATTCCTCCTGCAGTGGCCATGAAGACTATCTCCCTGAGCCATGACCTGTGCCAGGAGCAGAAGGCTGAAGGGCAGGAGAAGACGGAGAGATCACTACTCTTCGTTCCTGCCCTGGCACGTGACCACCAACACCCAGGTCCTCTGACTTAGCACCCCGGGTAGGACATTACTGTAGAAACGGCAGGTGTGGACACGACCTCCTCTAGGACGTCCATCCTTGATGCTCCATGAACACAGTTCCCTGACCTTCATCACGCCAGGGTGGCCCTTCTCTGCTCCCCAAGAGGAAAGAGGTAAACGTATTACATATGTTACACACAGGTACACACGGGATGGCCACATAAAGAGGCTCTCTCTCTCTCTCTGTCTCTGTCTCTCTCAATCTCCCCGTCCCCCTCTCTTTCTCTGTCTGGAGGCCCTTACGTCCTTGGGAACAATCAAGCGTACAGTGAAGCAAGTGCTTTGGGAGAGCGGGCTGGCCGAATATTCTAGAAAGAGCCTCAAACTGCTAAATGTAAAGATAAATTTGCTTCTGAAACAGAAGTCTGATTCATCCCCTCTGTTGGAATTTGCAGAGTCCTTTCTTCCCTCCAAGGACAGGAACAATGTCATACTGTATGTTACGGCCAGTTGCCTCAGCTGTCTAGACTCAGTGTGCTTTCACTTAAAAAACAAAATAAAATAAAAATAAAAACCACCCTTCGCCACCTAGGCACCACTCTACCATCTTAAAACTATTTCTGGCAGGAAAAGAATGCTTCATTCAGGAGCCGCCCTGATGGGGAGACCAGTGGAAGGGAGGCGGGCCTGGACGTGGTGGCCTCATGGCGCAGGACGCAGCTCCCAGGAGCCCAGCATCACCTTACCTGGAGTCTGATTCTCCATGTGCCGGGCATTTTCCGACAAGCAAAACAAAACAAAGCAAAGGGCCTTCTTGATCTCAGAGAACCTCCCACTTTCTTCTGAAATGACAGGCTAAGGCTCCCCGGAGAAGAGGATGCTTGAAAATGTCAAGATGGAGATCTGCTGCCTGCCTACCAGCCCATCAGGCCCAGGAGGCCTCACCCAGCCGTCAGCCTTCATTAGCAGCAGGATGCAAATGTAGTTTTTCAAAAGCGCCATCCCTGGCTACTCATACAACAAACAATTTCTGAATTCCTACTGCAGGGCCAGGTGGCAGCGAGAAACATTTTTCTCAACATTGCACGGCAAAAGAACATATTGTAAGAGGTAGATGCTTTCAAAAGGGAGGCGGTATCAAAGGGAGGGAGCTGCATGGGCTGATAAAGCAAGGGTCACTTTTAATCACTCCAACATTTCTTTTTCCAAACACACATTTCCCCAAAGGTAATAAATAGTTACAGCTAGGAAGGGGGAAAAAAAAAAAAAAAAAGCATTCCATTCTTTATCAGATATTGAGGCCTAGAGAAACACCATTCTCCTCCTTAAAAAGTATAGCGGCAGTGGCAGAACTCAGAAGAAGAATCTGATGTCCTCTCCTAATGGAGTAGGGTTCCTGCTATCTGATTTACTTTGCAGCTGTCTTTGTTTGTTTTTTAACAAAAATTTCAATGAACAAATGTGTCTGATTTAGAACAACTCACTACAAAGGGCGATGCTGGGAGTGTCCTAACTCTGGAAAAAGGAGAAGCCTGGGTCCTACAGCACACCGCTCAAGGCTTGTTAAAAAAATCCTGGTGCTTAAACCTCAAGAAGGCTATGAAAGTCCAGATTCAAGAGACACAGAGGAGAAGTGCTCTGCACTTTGGATAATAAACTGCCTTCTGCATCGGGGAAGGGGCAGATGCCGCCTCTCTTGTTCACGGCTGATGGAATCACACTGGGGGCTCTTGGGACAAGAAGGGCTGGGCTGGAGCTAGGGCTCCCACCTGAAAGAAAGGACACTCATCACTGCTGCCCACTTCACCCCACTGGGCAGGCCTGATCGCCGGTCCGGCCAGCTCTGCTAAATATTCTGGGTAAGAATTTCCAGTACGAGGGACTATGGGGCATCTGACTCCCTACTATGGGGCGTCTATAATTGACAGCAAAAGGCCTCAAAAGAGTCATGAGTTAAGGAGTGATTCTTTTCCAGCTCCAGAATCCATAAGAGAAAACACAGACACGTCTACACACATACTACCATGTGCACACAATGCCCCCGCCACACGTGTGCCCACGATGTGCACAGGAACGCATGTGTGAACACCCTTACACCTTACGCTGTACCTTACAGCACAGTCAGCTCCGCACTGACATTCCTGAAAAGCCACCTGGTGCCTGAGCTGAGCCTCACCTGGGTCTCTTGTCTGTGGTGGCGACACACACGTGCTGGGCGGGCACTGCTGTCCACTTCTTCGCCTCCGTGACCAGGGCCTCTGCGTCCACCAGGCCGAATCCATAGAGATGGCTGACTGGAAAGACAGAGCCTTCAGAAGCCCCTGCCCCCCTCGGAATGGAGCAAGGCCCAGCTCTCGCACTCCGCTCGGCTCCCACGCAGGGCACCGGACCCACGGCTGCCACGGTCCTGGGCCAGACCACCTGCACTACTCATGGCAGGGCAGGAACGCGGGCTACCTCCTGGAAAGCCCAGGCTGCGGCCCTTCTGAGGCCTGCTCCAAGATCCCAGCTGCGTTAGCCTCCCCCAACCTGTACTCCTTCAGGTCAGGAGTGCGGCCCCCAAAACGTAGCTCATTTTGGTGCAGGGCCGGAAAAGAAGCGTGGAGAGGGCCTAGTACTTTCTTTCTGCGAGACAGGGATGGGTTCCCCCCGCTACAGAAGGGACCTGTCGGCATTAGAAGCTCCTCGAATCATAAACCGGACTAGAGAAACAAAAACCTGAAACCCTTTGGTTCATGCGGCCATGATGTATAATAAACCGGAAAGCAAGGCTGGGCTCTTTTTTTTTTTTTTTTTTACCATTTTCTTTGCCTGCGCAATTCCCAGGGCATTCTGGGAAAGTGGTATGGCTCAGAACTCAGACCGTGAGTGCTTGTGAGTGGGCCGGATCCAGTGTTTATTGGCCACGGCAGGAGAGTTTCAAAGTTTAATTTAAGAGGCAGGGTCAAGAACGAGGTACAATCTATTTTCCTATTTAATTAGGCCAACACTGAAATGTAGGTTAGCTCTTGTTATAGCACACCACTAGCACCAACATTCTTGCAAGACAAGGATGCATTAGGCCTGATCAATGGCTTTCTTATTAAAAGGAATGTCCCCTGGAACTTAGAGTGACAACACTTGTCCTATATTTTACAGAGAGTAATATCAGGCTCCGTGTCGAAATAGTTGGGCTTGAGCTTCAGAAAAGGAAAAAGAAGTCCTCCCTAACATACCCGGGCCAAATGTAAATCTTTTTTAAGTAGCTCTGGTAGAAAGCAGGCAAATAAAGCTTGTGGCACAGTCCTATAATTATCTGCTCGAGAGGCCCCAAATACCTGGGTTACAAGCCCTGACTGTGGGCTGATTTCATGGAACCTAGGTCTGTCAGACTGGGTTGGGGAAAGAAGCCTTGAGTTACTTCTATAACACAGAGAGAAATTTTATGGTTAGAAAATAACTCGGGGCGCCTGGGTGGCTCAGTTGGTTAAGCGACTGCCTTCGGCTCAGGTCATGATCCTGGAGTTCCTAGATCGAGTCCCGCATCGGGCTCCCTGCTCAGCAGGGGGTCTGCTTCTCCCTCTGCCCTCTTCCCTCTCGTGCTCTCTCTCTCTCATTCTCTCTCTCTCAAATAAATAAATAAAATCTTTAAAAATAAAAAAAAGAAAATAACTTAAAACGGGTGCCTGGGTGGGCTCAGTTGGTTAAGCGACTGCCTTCGGCTCAGGTCATGATCCCGGAGTCCTGGGATCGAGTCCCACATCAGGCCTTCTGGCTCAGCAGGAAGTCTGCTTCTCTCTCTGACCCTCTCCCCTCTCATGCTGTTTCTCTCTTAAATAAATAAATAAATAAATAAATAAATAAATAAAATCTTTAAAAAAAAAAATAACTTAAAACATAACTATCTCAGTGTCCTCATTGTACAGATAAGGAAACTGAGGGCCCGTTTCCAAATCATAGAGCTACTCAGGACTAAGAATGCAAGATGCCCTTAGGTGGCACACAAACAAACAGTATGTATCTTAACAGTCATGGATTTGTTTTGATGTGCATTAAAAAAAATAAAAATCTACCTCAAACCCGTGATTAACTAGATATAATAAAGTTTCTTTTTAAAATATATTTCTTTATGTAAAAAAAAATGCAAGTCCATGTAAAGAGAACTATTACATCAATACTTGGTACAGGTGGTCTCTGGATGGCAAAAGTCGTGATGTTTAGGGAACCCTGAATTCTACTGATCTTAGGCTTTTTTCTTAACGTCAGTGTGAGGTTACTTTTCTTAATTCTCTAGCTACGTATTTCTCACTCTTGTGATTCTTTGAGGATTTGGGGATTCTTCTGGAGAAGCTCCTGGCACCCCTTTAATAGAGATTCCAGCAGGTCACCCAGTGGGTCCTCTGGGACAGGCTGTCCGGTCCCCGCCCAGCCCAATGGGAGCTGCCAGCGCACCTTTATGACCGGCACCGTTGACTTTCCAATCATTGGCTTTCAGATGTGCCGGCCTGGATGTCTTTACCAGCAGGTGCTGGACGTCCCTCCAGGTTAACTGGTTACTGCAACGACACAATGACAGACCAGTGAAGCCCAAGCCCTCACGGGTCAAAATGACGGCTGCCCAGGCCCATCGGCCAGCCCTGAGTCGGGACTTGAGTGAGCCCTGCAGGCTCCATTCCTCAGCGAGGGTTTATTTCATAACCTCTTTGTAAAGAATGGTTTCCAGGGATTAAATCCTAAGATAAAACAGTGCAGCGGGTGACCTAAAATCCATAGCGTTAAAAACCCAGCCCTGCTGCCAAGGTACCTGAGTGTGTCCAAGGGCTACCGAAGAAATTGTGGCAGGGGGAGAGGGACATCCTGATGTTTCTAAGTCCTGGGGGTTATTCTTCATCAGGACGAGCAAATGTTATGGTGCACAAAAGCATGCTTGAGCCTTCATCTGCCCAGACCCCACACCCCCCACTCCCTGCCCCTGGTGTGGACCCACCTGCTACCTACTGTAATTCAAGATTTTAGTAACTCTAAATTTCTAATACATTTGTTTTGGTGCAAAGTAGAAACGTTTCATTGAAAGAACACATGCCCACTAATAAAAATGCATAGATCAGAGTTTTGTGAGTCTAAGATATATTGTCCCGCCCCCCCCTTTTTTTTAAACACCTCTGAAACCAGGATGCATCTTCTGATGATACTCTATCATAACCCCCTCTGTTCACAGCATCAAGACCAGGTCACAGACAGAGGCTGGAAGGACCTGCACCCCCTCCTCTTGACCCAGTGCCTGCCCCACCCCCACAGTGGTTACAACTGTCTTTCCAGGCACCCACTCTTTGTGTGTGTTTAAAAATATACATAAAGGGGGCGCCTGGATGGCTCAATCTGTTAAGCATCTGCCTTTGGCTCGGGTTGTGATCTCAGGGTCCTGGGATCGAGCCTCATGTAGGGCTCCTTGCTCGGTGGGGAGCCTGCTTCTCCCTCTCTTTGCTGCTCCCCCTGCTTATCCTCTCTCATTTTCTCTCTCGCTTACTTGATCTCTCAAATAAATAAATAAAATCTTTAAAAATCTTTATAATTTTAATTTAAAATTATATAATTTTAATTTAAAATCTATATAATCTAAATAAAATCTTTAAAAATATATATATATACGTAACAGAAAATTTACCACCTTAACCATTTTTCTGTGCACAGGGCAGAGCCATTAGGACCTGCACGTGGTGGTATATTCATCACAAACCATCATCTCCAGAACTTTTTCATCTTCCCCAAGTGGAACGCTGTCCCCATTAGACACTAACTGCCTGCTTCCCCCTGCCTCCAGCCCCTTGGCCACCACCATTCTGCTTTCTGTCTCTTTGAATGTAACAACTCTGGGAACCTCATATACATGGAATCACACAGTACGTCCTGTTGGGACTGGCTTGTTTCACTCAGCATGATGTCCGCCAGGTCCATCCACATTGTACGTAGCAGGTATCAGAATTCCCTTCCTTTGTAAGGCTGAAGAATACGTCATGGCTTGTATGGACCACATTGTGTGTATCCATTCACTTACTGATGGGTACTGGAGGTATCTCCTCCTTTTATGGTTAGAGTAGATCCTACAGTGGCTGCACCATGTCACGTTCCCACCTCTTTGCCTGTTGTCCACTGGGACCTCACCGTGGTTTGAGTCTTGGGGCACACACACATTCCTCCCTTGGGACTCACTCTCCAGGTGCTAGCCCCGCCCGGTCTTCTCTGATTTCTCCAGCATGTTCTTGCCTCTGTGCCAGTAACCTCACTGGCTTCCTGGCCACCTCCCCCCAACTGTGTCCATCAGTCCAGTTTCCAGGCCTTTGCTTGGCTTTCCTCCCCTGCCCTACTGCCCCTCCTGAGGGCCCATGGCCAACGTCATTGTTCAGGGGGGATTCTGAGGCCCCACATGGCCCAAGGCCTCGCCCTCTTGCGTATAGACACAGGCTTTAGAACTCAACCAGAGTAGATGGGGCTGCACCCCTTGTTTCCCGTGTGACCCGGCAAGGTACTGCGGGGCCTATCAAGGATGGCTCCAGCAGAAGGTGCCAGGAAGCAGGAGCCGCAGAACTCAGGACAGAGTGGGCAAAGAAAAGGAGAATGTTAGAAACTGTCTCATTATGAAGACATCATTTTATTTTGGACTCTGGTAATAAAATCAGAAATATAGTTGTATGAGAAACATAGCTAAGAAATGGCATTGGAAATGTTTTTCAGCAAAGATGGGACTGATGGGAAATCCCAGGACGGCCACAAACCAGGACAACCTATGCACAGTTCGTACCCACGAGGGTCTTTCTTCGTTTTTGTTACATGCTATCCACAGGCCCTCCCTGACCCCCTGAGACCTCCTCCACCCAGGACGATCTGGCTTTGCTGGGGTGCCTTTCACGTACAAGTGAACAGGGTCTGAAGGCAATGCTAGGCGCAGGAGCACCAGGCCTGCTCCCTGGACACGTGCACTATCCCAGTCTCCAATCTCCTCACCTCAGGCCCGCAGGGGCCCTTGTTATAACCTGTCCCTTCCTTGACCAGTCCTGCAGGTTTAAAGGCTCTGAGCTAACGCTGTTTTCAGACTAGCCACCTGTGAATTTATGGAGGAGCTAAAAGGGCGAGGACGATGACTACCAGAGTTTTCATGTGTCCACAGGCCAAGTTTAATGGAACAAGCCAGCATGAAATGAAGCTTGCTTTCTATTTAGTTTTGACTAACAAAATTCCTTGCATGCTTCCAATAAGGGATGGAAGGAACTATAAAACAATGAATTGCTAAGTATGTGAATGCCACTTTCCACACAAGTAAGTAATTATTTAGAATTCTTTTTTTTTTTTTTTTTTTTTTAAAGAGCCTCAGGACACAGAAGCCAACATTTTGGCCTGAAAATTAAAAAATATTTAGCTAATCCTTTGTTAAACTGGTAACGTTTGAGTTGCATGCTCTTTTGCCTTGGACAAACCAACATGCAAATATCCATAATTATAAGGATCGAAGCAACCCAAAGAGGATTTTCTGAATCATTTAAAAACTTCAATGACAACAACGGACTACTTCAAATGGCGGGGCTGTTCTGAGCCCGTTTTGACGTCTAAACTAAATTTGTTTTTGACACCATGATTGCATGTGTAGCAAACTCTCTTTTCTTTCTGACCCATCCGGACACTAACAACTCCAGAGTTTTTATCTGGCTTGTGACAGATAAAACATCACCACTGCCTTGTCAGTTTATCAACTAAATTTTTTTTTTTTTTTAAGATTTTATTTATTTATTTGAGAGAGAGAGAATGAGAGAGAGCACATGAGAGCAGGGAGGGTCAGAGGGAGAAGCAGACTCCCCGCTGAGCAGGGAGCCTGATGCGGGACTCGATCCCAGGACTCCAGGATCATGAACTGAGCCGGAGGCAGTCGCTTAACCAACTGAGCCACCCAGGCGCCCTATCAACTAAAGTTTAAAAAGGGCACCTGTAGCGGCCTGAAGTGGGATTTTGGAGCGTGATGCAGAATGGAAGGGAGGCTTGGGGTTCTGGCTCCCCCAGCTCTCTGTGGTCCTACGAAGGGCAGGAGACAGTGAGCTTTAAAAAGGAAAAAGAAGGGAAGGAGTCTCTTCATATCCATTAAGGGTAGCCTTAAAAAGGAAGGAAATCCTGACCCGTGCTACGTCGTGGATAAACCCTGAGGACACTGCTATGTGAGCCAGTCACAAAAAACCAAATCCTATGTGATTCCACTTACACGAGGTGCTTAGAGCAGTCAAACTCATAGAGACAAAAGGTGGACTGGTGATTGCCAGGACCTGGAGGAGGGGTTACAGGGAGTGTTATGGGCTGAATTGTGTCCTCCCAAATTCATATATTGAAGCCCTTGCCACCAGTCCTTCAGAATGTGACTGTAGGTGGAGATAGGGTCTTTAAAGAGGTCATTAGGGTCACATGGGATCATTAATCCACTATGACCAGTGTCCTCATAAAAGGATCAAAGGTCAAAGGATCTAGACACACACATAGACAGAGGGTAGACTGTATGAGGACACAGGGGGAGGGTGGCCATCTACAAACGAAGGAGAGAGGCCTCAGAGGACACCAACCCAGCTGACACCTTGATCTTAGACTTCCAGCCTCCAGAACTGTCAGGTCATTCATTTCTGTTGTTTAAACTGCCCAGTCTGTGGTATTTTGTTATGACATCCCTAGCTGACCAGCACAGGGAGTTGCTGCTTACTGGGTATAGGATTTTAGTTTGGGATGATGAAAATGTTCCACAGATGGACGGTGGTGATGGTTACTCAAGGTGCATGTGCTTGATGAAATGTACATTTAAAAATGCTTAAAATGGGGCGAGGGGAGGAGGCACCTGGGTAGCTCAGTCGGTTAAGCATCAGCCTTCGGCTCAGGTCGTGATCTCAGGGTCCTGGGATTGAGTCCCGCGCCAGGCTCCCTGCTCAGCGGGGAGTCTGCTTCTCCCTTTCCCTCTGCGACCCCCCCCCCCCATGTGCGCACTCTCTCTCTCTCAAATAGATAAATCTTTTAAAAAATTGGTTAAAATGGTCACCTTTATGTGTATTTTACTGTAATAAAAACGTACAGAAAACAAAGGAAAAGAAGGGGAGGCAAGTGGGAACTTACTTTGCTTCTAAAGCCAAGGCGATGATCCCCGCCACCATGGGGGCTGAAACCGAGGTCCCCGTGTGGCCGTCCGTGCAGCGCTGCCTCAGATCCGTGGTGACCTGGGGGACAGGGCGGCAAGAGGCGAAGTAGGCTCTCAAAAGATGTCAGAGGTCAGAGGCTACTCAAGATGCTGCACCTGGACAGGTGTGGCCCCCGGTCCCAGGGACGGAAGAGGCACTAGGCAGATGCATCTCCCCAATCAAGGTTTGTGTCTGCTCCTCGCTGCTAATCTGCTTTGCTCTCAAACATAGAACAGGGACCTGCGGCAGGAGTGAGCTAATCACAAGGTGGGGACAGGGAGATAAGGCGGCGGGAAGACAAGCAGCAGGAAACCGCACAACCTCATGGCTGCAGATGTGTGTGCTGAGACACAAAGGTAAGAGAAGGACACAAAGAGTGGCCCTCCATGGCAGAGTCCCCACCTGCCATAGCCCAGGTTAACGACCCCCAAGTCACCCCTGACATCAGAGCAGTTGGAAACAAGGGCGGGGGGTGCCCAGGTGGCCCAGAGACCACCCCTGCCCTTACCCAGAAGATCAGAGATCGGTCAAAGAAGGTCACAGATCATTCTCTACCAGGATGTCCTCCTCAGAGAGTTGACAGTGTCCTAAAGCACCCAGTTCCATCTGCAGCAGCAGATGAACCTGGAGTGTTCGTGACCTTCACAGGGCCTGCTTTGTGGGACAATGAAGCTGGCTGTTCTCCTTGGGAAGGCAAAGCTGACTGCAAACCGAGGGGGCTCTGCGTGCCTTCCTCTGAGGCACTGACTCCGGGCCGGGTGGGGATATTGATTCTGGACCTCATTAGCGCACAGCCTGATTTGTCCCTTGTCTTTGAACTGATGCGGAGAAGCGGCACCGTGGAATCACCACACATGGGTTCAGCTGTGCCACACGTGCAGTGCTAGATGGGATTCTGGCCCTCGAGCTACACCCGTGCATGCTGCAGACGGCATTAAGTTTGCTAACCAGCACACCTTAAATCAGCCAGACTATCCTGGATTGTCCAGTGGGCCCCATGGCCTCACCGGGCCCTGAGAAGTGGAAAGAGGCAGAAAAGTGTGTCGGAGAGCCGAGGCAGAAGAGGGACCCAAAACATCTTTGCTGGCTTTGACGAGGGAGATAGAAGAACATAAGCCAAGGAATGTGGGCAGTCTGGAGATGCTGAGAACAGCCCTTCGCAGACAGCCCACAAGGAAACCAGAGCTCAGTCCTATAACCACAAGGAACTAAAATCTGCCAACGACCTGAATGAGCACAGAATGAATTCTCCACTAGAGCCTCTAGAAAGGAACACAGCCCAGCCAGCACACGGATTTCAGCCTCAGGAGGCTCAGAACAGAGACGCAGTCGAGGCTGTTGCCCTGCTGACCTCCTGAACTCTGAGATAATAATTCTGTGCTGTTTTAGGCTGCTGAGTTAGGGATAATTTGTTACGAGAGAAATAGGAAACTGATAGCCACACCAACAGCAAGGCTCTAGGAGTTGATCTACATAACCCTAGAGGATGAATTTCCCCAGTCATAACAATCCAGATCCCCTCCCCAACGGAGCATCTTCCTTCATCACATTCCGGCTGACAATCACCCAGGAGACAGGATCCAGCCCGTCTCATGCACATGCAGGTTCCTGGCAGAGACCAGCCTCCTCCTCTCCTACCCCCCTGGAGGCATCCTGCTGTTAGGAAGGGAAGCTGAGGGCAGGGAAGTCCAGACAAGGATGCAACCTCTGACCCCAGGATCGTCATCTGCAAATGGGCCTAATGATGCGTCCCTCACAGGCTTCTTTCTGGTGAAAGTCATAGCTGGCGCCTGAAACATACTTACATTCAGTAAATGGTGGCCAGTGAGGGACACTGAGGGTGTCTGGGCAGGCGGCCACGCTCCCAAGAGCAGGGGAGGCCCATGGCTGGCTTTCCAACCTCTGAGAACTGGGGAGTGAGCAGAGGGCCCCCCTCCCCTGCAGGGAGGGGATGGCTCAACCAAGGTGGGCAGTCCCTGCTTCCTGAGACCAAACGTCATGCGTGGAACTCTGCTCCAGGACAGCAAATGAAAGAAAGCCAAGGAATGAATGGGTGAGCGATGCTCTGCCGGGCGTTACTCCTTTTATTAAAAGTCATATGTCAGCCCCGAGCAATCCCTCCCTCCAGGCGAATATGGCTCAGCATTCGCTGGACAGAGAGGAACAGAGAGTACGGGATGGGACAGAGCCTTGATTTCCAGCTGACACCTGCCTGAACCGCACAGCCTACAAGCTGCCAACCATCCAGAGAAGTCCATCCCCTTGCAGGTCCTCCTGGAGGACTCAGAGCAAAAGCTCGGCTCTAGTTGAACTGAAAACAACCACCACCACAACAACAAAAACAAAAACCCCAGCAAAAATGCCATCCATACTCTCAGAGGAGAAGCCTAGCCCAGGAAGTACACTAAGTGATTTTCTCTTTTACCCTCCTCTTAACTGCACCCTTCTGGCCCGTATGTTATTGCTCGGAGAAGAGAAAGAAGAGAAGAGAAAGAAGAGAAGAGAAGAGAAGAGAAGAGAAGAGAAGAGAAGAGAAGAGAAGAGAAGAGAAGAGAGAAAGAAAAAGAAAGAAAGAAAGAAAGAAAGAAAGAAAGAAAGAAAGAAAGAAAGAAAGAAGGAAGGAAGGAAGGAAGGGAAGGATGGGAAGGAAGGGAAGGAAGGAAGGAAGGAAGGAAAGAAAGAAAGAAAAAGAAAGAAAGAAAGAAAGAAAAAAGAAAGAAAGAAAGAAAGAAAGAAAGAAAGAAAGAAAGAAAGAAAGAAAGAAAGAAAGAAGAATTAAGGCATTTTGTAGCTAAGGTGTGTGCATACACAGTGTGATTAACTAAGCAAATAAAGCAGCAAGCCCTGCTCCCAGGGATGGGAGACATAGGAGTCCCAGCAGGAAGCCTCTGGTACAAAGCGTTCAATGACAAGACCTCCGCCTTGAACGCCTCCAGCCAGCAGGCCTGTTTAACAAGACTCCAGCAAGCCTGTGTTCAAATGAGCTAGATTCCTAAATGAACAGGATACCATTCAGAATCTCGGCCGCCTGTCCCAGGGGCGCGTGCTTCGGTAGAAAAGGAAAACAAATTAAGACCTCTGTTTACTAGCCCGGGCCATTGCCAGGCTGGTGGCCCAGCAGCCGTGTGGCTGACCTTTCAGCAGGTGCGGGGAAAAGCGGGGAGCAGGGAGCCTGCATGCTCCCGCTGAAGAATGTAAAAAATAAATTTACAAATAATTTCTAGAGATGTGGCTCAGCAGCAGGAGAAATAAAAAGATGCTAGTGAGCATCCTTTAAAATTAAACCATGTCTGGCCAGCTCCACGGTCTCATTTTTTTAAACATCTAAAAACCAACTTGATGACTGTGCATTTGAATTCTGCATTAATTTCGGCTCAAAATCCTCCCCCTCTTTACTTTTCTTAAAGTAGGAAAGCCTGTGGGGAAGGAAGAAAGCACACATTCCACCCATATGCTGAAAGAAAACAGTCCCTTTTTAAAAGGATAAATCACGCTGGTGTTCATTGAAGTGAATGGAACAGACAGAAACCACTGCTCAATTCAAAGTGTCCAGGGAAAGTCGTTTTGTTGGGGGGAAAGAACCGCCTGGAAGAACACTTGGATCTCTAAAAGGTTTCAGTATAAAACTAAGATTTTCTCTTACTCTATTTGGCACGTTGAAACTGAACCGGTCAGTTGGATCCCCAGCAATGTGACCACAGAAATTTAGAGAGCTAAAAGGAGGCATGGTGCTGAGAAGGTACCCCATTCTTAAATGCTATTTTTAGATCCCTAAAGCCAAGAGAGGGTTTTAATTGGTATTTTGTGCAAAAATTAGAAAGGCAGGCTCTGAGGGTGGTTGCCAAGGGACTGGGGTTTCCCTCAAGGCACAACCAGTTCACCGATGGGTAAAGTCAGTACCCTGGGACCCGGTACAGACTGGCCTCAACCTGGCTCCTCTTTTTGTGAAGAGGGAAAGAAACTTGCCCCCAAAGGGCCGAAGGCGTGCGTCCTAGGCTCTCCACCTGGCCAAGAGAACTCACGATTTTCCGATCGTAAAACGCGCCACTGCTGTAGGTCGTGGCCAGGGTGGACGCACACTCCTCCAGGTACCACGGCTTGTAACCGTTCTCGGTGGTGCTGCTCACGGAGATGGTGTAGATGCTGTTGGTGTAGCCGTCACAGGAGCAGTGGTCCCCCTCTCTCCCGCCATTCCCAGAGGCCCAGACGAAAATGGAACCCAGGCCCTGCCGGCCCTAGAGGGGCAGAAGGAGAACAAGGCGTCAGCCCCGGCAGCCAGAACCTCGTGGGCAGGCGGGGTCTCGCGCCGGCCTGGAGTCCTCCCTTCGGAATGTCCCTTCCAAGGGTCTGAGAAGGATGTGTTCAGACCATAGGGATGCCACATGGTTCTGTGGGCTCTTGTTTCATTTTAATAGAGCATTTTTGCCTCTGGCGAGAGCCTTACAACAGCAAAATCACAGGATTGCACTGGGACGATGGCCCAGAAAGCCCTCTCTGCTCTTCAGGGGAAAATCAAGGGCCCTCGTATGAGCTGTTCTACTCCAGAGCCATGCCTGTAATTTCCATCCTGACGACCTAGCATTGCAAAGACAAGCGGTGCCACAAGTATGATTGAGATGAAAGTTGATGGCTGAACTTATTTATAACATTAATTGTTCGAGATCGAAAGCTGTGGGGAATGAAAGAGCTGGTCCTGTGGGGGCAGAGGGCGAATTTTCCTGAAAACCCAGTGGAAGAAGCACATGTCCTGGAGAGCAAGGTTTTGAAAAGAGGGGGTGGGACCATGAATTCTGGGTGAAGACTCAACAGGTAAATGGGTCATGGTCCAGAATCCATAGCCGCTTGGGGCCATCCTATGAGTTGCCCACGGGTACACATTAAAGTAGTCAGGTAGGGCACCAAGGTGCCTCAGTTGGTTAAGCATCTGCCTTCAGCTCAGGTCATGATCCCGGGGTCCTGGGCTTGAGCCCCACATCGGGCTCCCTGCTCAGCGGGGAGTCTGTTTCTCCCTCTGCCCATGCTCTCTCTCTCTCATTCAAATAAATAAATAAAATATTAAAAAAAATAAAGTAGTCAGGTGGTCAACGCCAGTCAAAGCCAGCAGCTTCACCTATATGTAGGTCTTTATTTTTCAGAACATACATGTGAAAGCAAGTCTTTGAAAGACTGGCCATCAGGGTCGGTTCCTGCAGCTCTGTTTCATCCCACACCCACAGAATCAAGGATTTCTGACCCAACCAAGTGCTCGCCCCAGTCCCAAACACTAGTTTAAGATTAACTAACCCAAGACGGACCTGACCCATTCTGTCCGAGTGGCTGGACCTGCTGGTGATGCACAGCCAGCCTGAGAGAACAGCGCCAACACCCATTTCCATGAAACCAGACCCACAGGACTGGTTACTTTGGTGTCCTTGTCAAGGACCCTCCTTTCCAAACATGTGGGAAGAAATTGATACTTATGCTCAACAACTGGCCAATTTAAAGAAAACTTGCAACAAAATTCTGTGATCCCCATAGAGTCCAATGGAAGCCTTGCTGTTGACTGGATGCGTTACACTCACCCAAAGTTCAAGTCCACCCCGGGCTGAGCGGACCCACCCGCTCGGAAAGCCCCATGACTCTCCACTCTGTAGCCCAAGTGGACAACAGTTCCTTGCCCTTTTGTGCCCATTTGTCATGACTTTGACCTTTCCTCCAGTTTCTAACCTGAGGCTCTCAATGGAGCCCCCGGGAGGTCCCTCGTGGTTACCCAGTCCCGCTGCTCAAAGCTGCCTTACTCACACTGCTTTCCACGTCTCCCTGGTGGACCTGTCCGCATGGCTAAGAGCTCCACAGAAAGGTTACTCACATTTAGCCAAAAGGTCAACCTTCTGGAAAAAAGGCACCAAGTACTGTAGAAATGGGTGTGTCTGTGCATATAATTACCTACAGGGAGAGATTAATTGGAGGCTAGTTCAAAGAAACTTAAATCAAAATGGAAAGGTATTTAACCCAACGGAGCCTATCTTTAGTGCATGAGAATCATCTCTAAGACGCTCCCCACCCCACTCTAAATTATTTATGAAAGGCTGTCATTTTGCAAAGTGGAGCCTAGAACCTTATTGTTCCAGCAGCACAGAGAATGTCCCCAGAGAGTACTCTTCATACGTGAGTGTGCACACAGGTCACCCCATGGGGGTCTTGCTACATGGCAGACTCAGACTCAGTAGGTCTGGGGGTGCCCCGAGATTCTGCATTTCTAATGAGCTCCCAGGTGATGCCCGCATGGCTGCTTCTGGACCCCACTTTGAGGAACAAGGGCCTAAAATGCCAAAGGCCCCCATCTCCCACCTTACGCTGCGTAGTTATTCCTAGACTAATCCATTCTCCAAGGTTTGTCAAGGCATCAAACACCTCTCTCCCTCCTGCAAAGAATGAGGTGGAGGAAACACCCAGATCTGAGGTGTGATGAGATGTTTTAGCTGTCTCTGAGGATTATATTTTCACTTCCCATGTCTTGGAAGCCATAGGACAGAAGCTCTAGGGAACAGTTCTACCCTAGCCGTGAACGGGTGTTTCTGTTAAGGAAAGTCACAACCTCAACCTGATCCAAACGTATTTCAGCCCCTCGCCTGGGTGAAGGGTTCATCTGTGAACTCCAAAGCACTGTGCCTGAGGGCTTGCAAATGCCTGGCATCTGGACAAGGCCAGTGTTTCCAGCCTCAGTGATGTTGCCTCTCCCCTTTGGGATGACAAGCCACGCGAGGGGTAAGGCTTCCTAAAGACCGACATCAGGCACATCTCTGTGCCAGATGATGGCCTCCGAAGTCTCCTACCACAAAACCACATCATCTACCAGAGATGAAGTCAGAGACTTGACAGAAAAAGACTGTAGCTGACAAATGGGGCATCGAGGAGGAAAAACAGATGGGGGGGAAACGTGGTCTGGTTTGAGATCATCAAATTACGAGGAGGATTTTCAGTGACAACTTCACACAGCTACGATTTAAGGATCCCTATATGACATATTTTACTTCAGAATGACTGGGGAAAAAATGGAATGACCTCAGTATTTCAAGAAACTGTGACAAGAATGACGGGGAGCCACACGGTCCCCTTTGCACCTTCTTCACTCCCCTGACAGCCCTAGTAAAGCCAGTGCTGCTCAGACTCTGGAATGCAAAGAGCCCCTCTCTGCAGCTCCCGACTTTCCAAAGCCCCGCACAGGTTCAGTCGACGCAAAGCTAAGTGAAGTTGCGACACCCAACAATCATTTGAAAACAATCATTGACCTCTCCAGGAAATGGGGGGGCCCTGTCCTGAGACCTCAGATCTTTCGAAATCATCTCAGAGAAGGACACGTTAAGGATTAACACCATTCCAAGCAGTAACTTCCACACAGAAGATGCGATTTCTAATTGACAGCTTAAATTAAAGCTTAACTTTTAGGATGTCCCGCTTGTCATCAAGAGTGAGATCCATGTGATCTAGTGGGTGGTAGGAGCCGAGCACTGAGAAGATAAGATAGTTTTACTTCGCAGCCCCTTGGAGGCAGCAGCTGCCTTGGTCACACCTGAACCTTCCAGCATCCCTGGACCAGCACCTAGCACAGCTCAGGGGCTCAGCAACCTGACAGAAGCAGCCTCTGCATTTTCTTCGAGTCACGGGGGACAAAGGCAGTTGGGTGGTGTCCCAAGCATGACCATGAGGTCAAATGCCAAGGTTGGGGACATGCTAAGAGATAAATACTCAACCCCCATAAAAAAGTCATAGAAAATGACCAAACTCAATTTATCCAAAAAAGCAGTCAAATCCTATTATTTAGAAGAAAGAAAAAAGGGAACAGAGTTAAAAAAAAAAAAAAATTGGTCCTCTATAGGGCAGGACTGGTGGGGGGAGATGGGGGGGGAGACAAAGAAAGGCTGCTTTTTTTTTTTTTTTTAAAGATTTTATTTATTTATTTGACAGAGAGAAACACAGCGAGAGAGGGAACACAAGCAGGGGGAGTGGGAGAGGGAGAAGCAGGCTTCCCGTGGAGCAGGGAGCCCGATGTGGGGCTCGATCCCAGGACCCTGGGATCATGACCTGAGCCGAAGGCAGACGCTTAACGCCTGAGCCACCCAGGCGCCCCAGAAAGGCTGCTTTTAATAGGATCCTCTGATAATATTTTATTTGTTCATTAACTACTTATTAATCACATTTTAATCATGGCACATAGGTTATAATAAAATAAGGACTTTTAAAAAACGTTCTAAAGCATAAATAATAAAAGGGACCGGAACCACCCCCGCCTTTGCAGCCCTACTGTCCTGCCTCCCATAGGAGAAGTCGGAAGTACAAATGCTGGCCCAGGGATGCTTGGACTTCCTGCCCAACCCCCCACCAGCATCACCAGGCCATACCTTGTACTCTGGGCTGGGCCTTGGGCCACCCAGGGCCACCCGGACACTGACCGCAGCTCCATCTGTCTGCTCCAAGAAGCTGTCCTTGCCCAGAAATCTGCCTCACCAGCTGGCTTATAAGAACTGAGTCATCTCCAGGTCCCTCTCCGCCGCCCCCCCTCCCCTGCATGTTTGACTCCCAAGGATCCAGGACTAATGATCCCAGAGTGACTGTGGGTGGGCTTCCTGGCCGGTGGAGAACAAGCCCGCAAGTCTCCTCTGCTTCCCCTCAGCTGGTCAGCAGAGAACCTGTGCTTGGATGTTTGCTCTGTTTAGTCCCTCGTGAGGCTCTACCCAAGAAATCCTAAACATGTTAGGCTGTGTGCTGGCAGGGAGGGCAACAAGGCCAAGACTTGCTGTTTGGTGGTGGGGGTGGGGGTGGGGGTGCTGGATGAGTGCACACTCCGTGATGGACACAGGAAACTCCATGGCTGGGTGTTTCTGTGGTCAGGGGGACTGAGGCCCAGGACACCCCCTTCCACCTCCACAAGTAACAAGCCAGGTAGTCAGACTAAGACCCCTAGGGCCCACCTGCCCACACCTCTCAGCTGGGAGCTGTCAGGCTTCTAGGCACAGAGTCCTGGGCCTGGTGGGTGACCAGCGGGCACCTGCTAGAATAGCCTCTCTATGACAAGGTGAAATCCTTCTGCTCTGGTTGGTAGACAGCCACTCCCCTGAGCCTTGAAATGCCTTCTCCCTCACACTGGTCGTGGCACGGCAGGGCCTTCCTGGCCCCATTCTGGGGGCTCTGGCTTGTGTCACTCTAATTTTTAATTGCTAATTTTTTTTTTTTTTTTTTTTTTTTTTTACTATTCCCTCCCCACCCTGGCGAGATGCACCGTAGCCCTGGAAGACTCACACCTTTTTAATGCCATACTCGAAGGCCTGCTTAGCCAGTCGGCCAGGCCCGTCCACCGTCTTCCCGTCATCATCTGGTCCCCAGCTGGCGCTGTAAATGTCGATGTAGTTGGGTCTGATGCCCAGTGACTTGGCTTCAACCACATCCGTCACGTCGCCGTCCAGCATGCGGATGCCTGAAAGCACACAACGAGGCCCCGTGCACGCCCGCTCGGCACTTTTTGGGGCCGCACAGACTGTGACCCTGGGGTGCAGCCGGAGAGCCCTCCACCCCCCCACCCCCGCCCCCCAGCTCAGGAATGTTCCAGCCTCATTCTGGAAAACCTCTTTCCCCATCCTGTGCTGATGTGAAGGAATTCAAATGACATCTGGGGCCACGCTGTGGTGTCCCCAGCATGGGACAGCAACAAAGGAAATGGAACCATTTGGAAAAGATAGGATGTAAACTGTTGTAAACTGTTTCCTTGGTAGCATGCAGTCACTCTGGTATTGAAAAGTGGAACATAATAGAATGATTATGATGATTATTTCTATAATAGAGCTCCACTTTCCCTGCTGTCAACAGTTTATTTCTCTGTCTTATTTCTCTTTAAAAAAAAAAAAAAAAAATCACTCCCATCTCTGATTTGTAACTAGGAGTTTTTAACCTGGACGACAGAGGGCCACACCGTAGTCTCTCAAGGAGCAGGCTTCTTATATCTCAGCGTGTGTTCAGGTTTTGTGTGTCCCAGAGGGGTCTTTAGGTGGTGGGGACTACCCCTTCCTCAAGACCACCCCAGAAGGAGAGGGAGGGAGCCACAAGCCTCTCCCAGTGCCTATGTTCTTGGCCGGGGGTTCCCGCACACCCCAGGCCCAAGCTTTGTCTCCATTACGGATCACACTCCGCATCTAGTAGGTATGGTGCCCCCAGGCCTCACCCAGAGAGGGGGTCTCAGCGATGCTGGCACTAACTGGGAAGCAGGGGTAATGACAGCCACCAGCACATCCTGCCTGGACACTAGCAGATACGTAAAATTGGACCTCTTGGAGACTCAGTAAACCTGGACCAGCCGACCCCAGACCAGCGCTCTAGGTGACTGCTCAGTCCCCACAGCCACCCCGTTCCGAGGCCCCCAGGAGCTCCTCCTCCACCAGGCCCAGCCCCATGTGTGCGGTGGCCATGCCAATGAATTTTAAATCTTGAGCTATTTAAAACATAACAGAAAAGAGGACTTTTTCTGATTAGAAGCATCACATATGCTCTTTGCAGAAAGTTTGGAAAATAGAGAAATAACTAGTGGTAATATTTTGGTTATTTTCTTCCAGTACTTTTCTTTGGCCCCAGCACGCACTTTCTCTCCAAGTTCTTTTTTTTTACTACAGAACTTCATACAGAACATTTCCCTGCACCATTAAAGACTCTTCTAAGACACGATTGTAAATGGTTGCAGCTTCCCCTCCCGTGCACCCCAGCCCAGGCAGCACTCTCCCTGAGGTTCCCCTCACCGAGCAGAGAGGCCCCCAGCTCTCCCAGCCTGGGCTGGATCTATTCATGCCACATCCCAGAATCTGCGTCCACATACGGCGGGTATGCCAAGAATAGAAACTCTGAAAACAAATGATTTTAAAAGACAGAACAGTGACTTATCCCCAGGATGAAAAGAGATGGTACGGGGCTCAGGCAGGAAGAACCATGGGAAGGAGACTCTTTGAGGGGACACCCTCCCCAGGTGCTCAGGGACAGATGTTTTATGTAAAGTACACTGTAATTGTGGAGATGTTCTGCTGTCACTTTTGATGAATGGTTTGAGAGGCAGAGATCCCGAACACATAAATTTCAAATGATACCCAATCTCTCACCCAGTAACACATGAGTTGTAGACAAACAACTAAAAGCACTTTATGATTTGTCAGGGTGAGCGACTTCCTACTGACAGAGCATGTGAAGATGACTGAAATGCAGTAAACTCTTCTACCCTATCAATTCATGCTGCCCGGATTTGAGAGTTCAGGTTGCCCTGAAGTGTTCTCCTTAACATCTGCCCTGTTGTGAGCTGAGAGAGAAAAGGTCAGAGGCCCTGGGCAGGGTCCCTGGGAGGCTGAGCAGGACAGTCGTGGTTGTAGGAGGAGGGGGAGCTGCTCGAAGGTGCGCCAGGTTGGCCCTCCACTTGGGTGGGACGCTACAAGCAAACTGGAAACTCCTGCTCCCAAAGTCTGGAAACTGTACTCCAAATCCGTGTCAGAGAAATTTATAGCCAAACAACAGTAAGACTGAGGTCTGGGAGACATCAGGAGTTCAATGACAGTGCTGAGAGCCCCTCGGAAGTGTCAGCCTAACAGGCACAGGCGGTGAGAGAAGGTGCTGGAGTCGTTAGAAGAACTACTTCTTTATGGCTGCAAGGCCTTAAAAATGAGAAGTAGAAATAAATTTTAACTTCAACACTCTGTTCTACCTTCCGGGTCCCCATCTATTGCCCTTCCTCTCTTTATTACCTGTGATGGACTAAATGTTTGTGTCCCCCCAGCCCCCAAATTCACATGTTGAAGCACCAACCCCCGGTGTGATGAAGGTAGGAATTTTAGGAGGTAATTAGGTTTAGATGAAGTCATGAGGGTGGGGCCCCCATGATGGGCTTAGTGCCTATTATAAGAAGAGTCGGCAGAGAGCTTGCATCTCTGTCTCCACCATGTGAGGCCACAGAGAAGGTAGCCATTTGTGAGCCACAAAGTGGGCCCTCACAGGGGAACAGAACGGGCAGGTCCCTTGATCTTGGACTTTCAGCCTCCAGAACTGTGAGAAATAACGGTCTGTTGCTTAAGCTCCCAGTCCGTGGAATTTTGTGATGGTGGCCCAGGCTGACACAGATAAGACCTCAACTGCCTGGCTTAGGATGGCCCCTGTTTAGGCACTAAGATGGCGCCACATGGCAATTGGATGTGGACCCCTCATCACTACTCCCAAGGAGAGGCCCGTGGAACAAAACTCTCACCCACACTGTGCCTTGAATCAAGCCGGCAGGAGGGTGATGGGGCATGCCACAGGTGACAGCCCTGCCGTGACCACCAACCAGTGGCTCTGGGAGTTTACCTCATGTCAACCAGGCCTCCATTTCCTGTAGGTCGCAATGATGAAAGTTATTTCGTCTACAGAGGTGCCAGAAAAACTGAAAAAGGTGATTCAGGTAAAGTGCCTGGCAGTAAGGACCCAATGTGCATGTTAGTGGCTAGTGGGAACCCACTGAGCCTCAGTTTCCCCATCTGTAAACACAGGAATAAAGACAACAATTTCCAGGGGTTGTTAACAGTAACTAATCCCTTTTTACCTTTATTTTAAAAACATATACTCTTTAATATGTATGAAGGATCATATGTTACATACATGTTAGTGATAAAGCCTAAAAAAATAATTGACACCCATGAACCCTCCATCCATTCAATGCAAATATAAACATGACCCACTGGGGTCTCTACCCATGCCCTGCCCCTCAAAGAGGAAACTGCTCAGAATTTTGGATGATTCCTTTCATTGCCTTTTAAAAACTAGTGGGTTAATACAATTGCATGCTTGCTTAAACTATATATGGCTAAGTTTTGCTGGTACCGGGAATTAATCCTCTGTTGGTTATACACATTATAAATATCTTCTCCCAGTTGATGCCTTGTCTTCTCACTTTGTTGATGGTGCCTTTTGATAGACAGAGATCCTTAATTTAAATAGAGTAACAACAACTTCCCTTTGAAGATCAAAGGAGTTATAATGGGGGTCAAACTTGTCAGAGTTTATTGGCATCTCTTGTGGGGGCCTTTCTCCCTTTCAACGGTGGGGCTGTCCCATCCGCTCAGTGCACCTCCTCTTTTCTGATTTCTGGCTGCACAAGGAGAATCAGGGTGATTTGAAATGTTATCTCTCTCCAGTCACTGGTCTGTGAGCCCAGGGCTTCCCTCTATGTCAGAGACACTGGGCCCGGGTGCTCGCTCAGCCATCAGCCCAAAGAGAGGGGCCATAACCAGCACAGGACGTTGGCCACAGGATGTGGCAAAAGGTGTGGCCTCTGGCAAGATGAAGAGCAACTCACAGCAGGGGGAAATGGAACCGGGGTCACAGAGTCCTGGGGTGGGATCTCAGCTCTGTCTAATCTTGGGCCAGGATCTCAAATTCTCTGAGGCCTCGTCTTCCACAATATTTACCTGGCAGAGTAGTTGAGAGGATTAAATATATGTTGAGGCCATAGTACCTGGTGCTGTTGGAGAAATGGTGGCTTTGTTCTATGTACCCTTATATTCCACAATGGGCTTGCCAGGGCAGGAGAAGGCCCTGCCAGCCACAAAGGCACCCAAAATCAATTCTGATGTTCTAGTGCTGAAATGTAACCTGACATTCTAGACTTCTCCATGCAAGTTATAGGTGTGGGAATGCCTACTTTAAAAAAATTTTTTTTCAGTATAATGAGCATATAGTATTATATTTGCTTCAGGTGTCCCATATAGGGATTCAACAATACTATGCATTGGTCAGTGCTCAGTGCCTACTTTTGAACAAGAAGAAAGAGATGCTAGAAGACATCAAAAATATGTAAAAACAGACAACCAGAATAATTTCTTAACACCTCTCATGATGCTTTTCATCTCGGAAGAACAGCAACTTATGTGTGAGGAAGAAAGTATAACATACTTAGATTTTAATGAAGCATCTATTTTCCCCCAACACTGACAAGCTGCCAACAAAGAAAAGGTAAATATTTTCAGTGGAAACCTGCTGTTCCAATATTAGCTTTAAACGTGAATGGTTCTCTGGAAACGCCAAATCGAAGAAAAACAATCATCATTTCTCTGATGAAAAAAGAAAGACCCAGGTACAGAAAAAAAAATTGGGGCCAGGCATTGGTTTGGCAAATGAGCTCCGGGTGGTTGGCACGCTCACGGTGGCAGGACAAACACGTGCCCGACTGTCCATTATGAGGACCAGTCTGTGAGAGAAGCACGGAGGAGAAGGAAGATGGTGCTTCTCAGGAGCAGACGAGTTTGTGTCTGGGGGAACAGCTCAGAGTGCTCTGGGGGCTCAATCCCCCAGCAGGCAGCTCTGGTTTGCACAGAAGCTGCGTCCAGGAGCAAACCCCACTTAGGTGTGTCTATAAAACTGCCTGGACCCAATAATATTTTACATGCCCTGGAGAACTTGCTGAAATTCAGGATGATT